ACTCTTTGTCAAAAAAGATCAAGCTTTTAATATTATTTTATAATAGTCTTGACAAACTATTAGAGACTATATATAGACAAGGATTCAAGATCAAGAAATGGAATTAACTTGATATTAGAACAATAACTAGATAAAAAATAAGAAGATCTTGGCTAGACCACAAGAAGTGAATTGTCAAGACTAAGGATCTCCTTAGTCTCAACCCCTATATATATTAAGTCTTAGAAAGCTTCTTAAGAATTTTGCAAGAAGCTTGAAAATAAAGCAAGCTTAAGATCCTTCTTTGGCAACTTTCTAAATCATGTAAAACCTCTTAGAACCTTCTAGGATCTCCTATGATCTTTTGAAACTTTCGTAGAATCTATTAGAACCTTCTTAGAACCTTCTAGAACCTCTTAGAACCTTCTCAAAGCTTCTTCAATTTTATGTCAATGACAATTAGTTAATAATTTCAATTGAAATGTAATTTTTTGTAGAACCATAATCTACAAGTCCTTGACATAATTATCTTTTTAGTAGTCATGTTAGATGTATCAATTAAATCTTTTTATAGTTTTTTGAAGCCATACCATTTGTCTTTGAGAGATAGTAGCTATTTCTAGTAGTAGTTATTGGCACCATTATTAGAGAGCTTTATTTTCTTGCTTTGTCTCATTATTGACTTTGTGAGTTTTAAGACCGTCAACTTGCCTTGCCTTACTGGTGCTTGAATTTTGATATTTTGAAGAATCTCCAGTCTGAAGGTTTGGCTCTTGACAATAGAAACAAAATTCCTTGTGCATCAATATTTTTTGTCTTTGTGGTGTCAATGATCCTTGTAGGATATCAATCTCCATTGGCATTTGTTATTATGCCATAATATTCAATAGCAGCATAAGACTTCGTATTGTAGGTCGTACTCTATGATTTTTGATGACTTCTCTCTATCACAAAATCCACCTTGAACTCGATGCCTTTCAACTTAATGTCGCCATCAAATGGCTGCCGTATGTCTCAAGTAGCTAACTATATATATATATATATAATTTCTTAAGTAGTATTTGCTTGAGATAATTGGAGGTATTGACACATGTTGGAGAGCTATTGAGACACATCTTCTTGTCTTAAAGTCTGAGAATATGTCTTAGGCTTACTCAATTTCAACCTAGTAGATGTCAATTCTCTTGTCCTCAAGACTTTTATTTACCTTTTCAAAGTAGCTATCTGATCTAAGAGGTGTTATATTTGAGCCTCCATCTGGAATTGCTATGCCATATCTTCCATATTGTAATTTCTCTACTAGACTTCACTATTGTAATGCCTTTTCACCTCCTGATTGATTTTTTTTATTTTAAGAGTAGCTCATAGTAACCTCAACATAATACCTAGTATGACGACAATAACTGATCTTGGACTAAATGATGACTATTCACATGCTACCAAAAGTAAACAATTTAACACTTGCTCTGATATCAATAAAATAGGACCAGTCTATCTTAAAAGTCTAAGATCCTTTTAATCCACTGCAACATAAAACCTCATTACAAGATAAGACAATCTGGATTAAAACAAAACTAAACAGAAGTAAAGAGAATAGAACATGTAGATAAAATTGAGCAACTAGAATTAAGATAGAATATATATATATAATCCAATTGTATTAGAAAAAAAGATTCAAAACCATACTTGACGAGATGCCCCAAAAGGCCATGGCTAGTCCTAATTATATTTTGTTCTACCACCCTAGACTTTCTAGAATGTTTTCAAGTAATGGATTCGACTTAGATAACAACCTTAAATTCTTTCTAGAAGGTTTTATGGTGGGTCCTATTTAAATAACCATTGTAAGCCTTTTCTAAAAGGTTCTCTAATAGGCCCCATCTTCAAAACGACTCTAAATTCTTTTTAGAATATTCTATAGTGGATTCTACTTAGTCCACTAAATTAATTCTAATTTTAGAAACTTTCATGGTTCTAACATCTATTTCTATATAAATATCTTATCTATACCTTGTTATATGTTGTTCTAATACTTAGATTACGTAATAAATTTTATAATGATTTAAAATTAGAAAACTAAGAAAAAAATCTCTTATATTTTTGAATACTTCTTGTTTCATTATATTGATAATGATCTTTGTATTAACTTTATACTATCCTAATTGAATTGATAAGAGTTTATTAAGACCAAAAGAATTATATTTTTTTTATTAATATATTTTGTAGTATATTTTATTATTAAATTTGACTAAAATATATTTAAAATAGATATTATTTTAAAAAGACATTATATTTAATGATAAGAAGTATTTGTATAGAAAACATTGGGCATTAAAAATCTTTTAAAATGTATACTTTTAACCATAATTTACACAAATTGGAAAATTTCAAAAAAAGCTTTTTATATCTTAGACCACAATTTCAAAAAATTTATTCAAATTTTAATTTGAATCAGTGTGAAATTGACCATTAGTTCATCAAATTTTAAGATGAAGAGATATCGTTAAATTTTATTTTAATTTTTTATTTGCAACATATTATATCAATAAAATCTATTAGCTCTATTACTCAAAAAGTTATTTTTATGAGAATTTATTAAAGATTTAAGATGTATATTGACATAAGATATTTGTGGTTTTGGTGGTCAATAAAAATTATAATTAAACTAAAGACATATTATAAATATATTTTTTCAAATGTAAAATAATTATATATTTTTAATTATTTTTTTGTAGACTTAGTTATTAGATTATAATAAAATAATATCATTAAATATAATTTATTATTTGAAATTATTAATAATACTATTATAATTTTTTTTAAATATTTATATTATCAATTTTTGATTATAATAATTAAGAAAAAATTAATCAACATAAACTAATAGGTCAAGTAAATAATATGTTTGAAATCTTAATATTATGTCTTGATATCTTTATTATGCTCTTTTTTTTTAATAGATAAATTTGAATATTAAATAGTAACTTAAAAGAAATTCTTCATAAATATTTGACATTAATTAAAAAATCTTTAAAATCATTTTGTATATTATAATTTTTTCAAATTTAAGTAATTATATTTTATTCTTATTATTTAAGTTCTATTTTAAGATTTCTATCTAAAAATATATATATATATATATATTTTGTGGTTTTAAAAAAGACCTATTTTTAGAAATATAAAATTTAACATTTTTAGACTTAAAGAATAGTTGTTTTTGGTTGTTCTTATAAAAAAGAATTAAAAACTATACAATTTCTACTTTAGAAAAAATACCATACTAGTTTAGTCACAATAAACTCTAAATACTAAATTTAATTAGAAATTTCATAGAAATAAGTATTGATATCACATTATATATATAATAATATTTTTAGAATTTTTTTATGAGTAATATCTTAAAGATAAAAAATTTGACCATGTATAATCTTTAATCATATATGTTAATTTATTTATATTAATAATGTTATTTAAAATTTAGTAAATAATACACAAAGGGTATTAAAATTTGATTAAGGTTTGATTAAGATTGTTAAGATTGATTATTATCTGGGATATACTATGCAAGAGATCAAATAAGAAGTTGAACAAAAGAGTATCAATTTATAAAGCTAGTAAGAACTTGATTAAAATAGATGAGTACAAGATCAATACTGAGAAAGGTGAACTAGAGCTCCAAGAGATGTGTTGTTGAGACAAAGGATTTCTTCAACCTTGACTCAAATATATATTAGGTATTAGGAAGCTTCTTGAGAAGTTTTTATGTTACTTGAAGACAAAGCAACTATAGAAAGCATCTATGACAATTTCTTTAATCTTCCTAAAACATTCTAAAATCTATTATAATACTTTAAGAATCTTTTAGAACTTTCTAAAAATCTTTTAAAAGCTTCTATTTGAATATTTTTAAAATCTTTTAGAACCTTCTAGAACTTAATAGAATATTCTAAAATGATTATTAAAATCTTCTTATTGAATATTTGTAATAATTATAACATTGCTAAGAATTAATTTAATAGAATGATTATTTTAAAGTATTTGAGATGTTATATACAAAGAATAAAATTAAATCAATTTTTTGGAAAGAAAATAATTAAATTATTTGGACTTGCTACAATATTGGAGATATATGAGGTTTATAAAAAATACTCATATATGATTAAAATTGATTAAAAAATCTTATATCAAAATATTTAATTACAAAGTAAAGAAATAATATAATAAATATTGTTAAGTATAAAGAATTAAAATATCTTAGACCAAGATTGGATTTTAAATATTATATAGTTTTAGATACTTATTTTTAAATAAATTATTTCAAATATTTACTAAATATATAAGTTTAAATATTACTTAAAATACCATATTCATATTGAATGTCATAATTAAATTCAAAATAAGACATATAATGCAAAAAGATTGACCAAAATAGAGGTTTTTAGTAATGTGTTTTATTGTAAATTGTTTTTCATATTATTAATAAAAACCTCTATTTTTATAAAAATAATGCTTAAAATTACAACCTACAAACATTATTACAACATTAATTCAAATTTTGCAAATTAAAATCTCAATATTCTAAAAAAATTATTAGATAGCACATCCATCTTAAAATCTAGAAAAAAAGAAGAAATGATCACAAATCTATTACATTTTACTTTATTTTTATTGTAATAAAAATATCAACAAACTCTTCAAACAACTAATTAATCTGTTCGAAAATGGTGAAAACAACACAAGTTTCAATGACGCACACTAGGCCATGGTGTGAGTCATGCCACCACTCTGATCCATGTGTCAATCTCCCTTGCTTTCAAAGCCCATTGGCAAGGGCGAGATTGGGACACAAACCTATTCGTTGTAACTAATGTGTCAACAAATGAGAAAACCCATGAAAACATTCTCACCACCACCACCTCCTCCTCCTCCTTAATAATAATAATAATAATAATATTAACAAGGCCAGCAACGCCCTCATTGCAAGTGTGGGTGGGACAATGAATTGTACGAAGTTGGGAAGGGAGGGCATGGCCTTGCGGTGGAGAACCGTGTCCCCCCCTTTCCAAGGCCACGGGCTTCTTCATCTTCCCAGCTTCCGCTTGCTGAGAGAAAGGGGTGCTGCTACTACGCTGGAGACAAAGAGAGTGAGCGAGTGTGAGAGAGAGAGAGAGCCATTGCATCCACACACACTGTCAATCAATCATTGGGGAGAGCGATGGAGAGGAGGACCTCGGTGAGCGTGGTAGTAGAAGCAGCGCAAACAGTGAGGTCAGCGGGCATCGGGATTCGCGGGAAGTAGACGAAGAAGACGAAGAAGACGAAGGAAGACTGCATCATCCTCATCGTGGAATCATCGGAATAATGTGGTCAGTCAGGCCAACCCACCTAGCCAGCCAGCTAACTGCTTGCTTGCATTACATGTGGGTTTGTTTGTTTGTTTGTTGGCTCCCCCTTCCTCATGTCGGGTCATGGTGAAACGGTCTCTCGCCTCTCCGCCTTCGTCCCACTGTTGCTTTGCTTCCCTCTCGAGGGTTTAGCATCTTGTGGGAATAACTAAGAGATAACAGTTGAGTTGGGTTGGGTTGTGGGTTAGTTTGAGTGTAAGGTCTGGTTTCGATCAGTGAGTTGAAGTTGTGAGCTTGATTGCTAGAGGTGTGAGTAGCTGCGATCTGAACTTGGGGATGGGTTTTTGAAGGAATTGGGTAGCTGTGTGGTGGCAGGATTTCTGGGTCTAGATGTTTGTGGGAGGATTGGTAGGGGTTGGTGGAGTTTGATGGGCGTGGAGGTTGGATTTTGAAGATTCAGCGGGTTCTGTGGGTGTTGACGGTATTGATGTGAAGCGCTTCAGCTTTTGTTTTTTTTTTTGTTGGTAATTCCAACTATGGCATTCACACCCCGGAGGTAATGTTCATCTTTCTTTTTTGCGAGGGTGACTCTTAAGAAGAGTTGATCTAGGACTTTGAGGCTTAGCTTTGTGGTACTGCTGTAGAAGGTTTTCTACTTTGTATTCAGGTTAGTGGTAAAATAGGATTTACTGCGTATTGAGGTGCAGCTAAGAATTCTTTCCCATACTATTCCGCTTGAACTGCGAAGAATATATGGATTTGAATAAGAACTATAAGGAGTCACGTTGCCGGTTTTTAATGTTTTTCTTGCCGAAATCTAACTTATTATTTACTACTCGTTTCTCAGGAGGAATCAAGTGTTTGCTCAAGGTTCAGAAGATGTCACAAGGTAGTAATTCAAAATCAAGTCGACCATTTAGGTTGTGTTATTGAATGTGGTTTTTGTTGATGAATGTCGTCAGGTTTCGTGATTTTCTTCCCCTCTGCTCCGTCACATCTTTATTTAAAACGTGCTACTGTTGTGGTTTATTTTTATGTTCTATCCTTGCCGTGTAATTTTCTCATACTGCATGCACTGCATTATATGTGACAATGCGTCCGAGTGATTGGTTATATTTCTCCTTATTTCCAACTGCGTATTCGAACTCAATCTACGTCAAAGTTCGGTGGAGAGAAATGAATTTGGTCCGATTGCAAAATATTATGACCTGTTCACTGTGGGGATTTCGAGATCATATGTTCACTAAGACTTATTGCATGGCATTGAAGGGGAGAAGATTTAGAGGACGATTCGCCAATCCTAATTTTTTATCTTTATCTTAGAAATAAGTATTATACAGTGTGGATGATGTTTGATCCTTCAAGATTAGTTAACGGAGTCTCGAAGGTCAGGTGTATACCTTACAAATCTCCAGGTTTTTGAGCACACACTACTGTGACTTTGTAGAATCCCAGTTTCAACCTCACGATTTCGGGAAAATGAAGGTCACATTATGGCAATTATTCATTAGTTAAACTACAAGTGGATGTGTTTTGGTGGATTGCTTTGATTATGTGCAGTTGGCAGCGTGCCTCAGAATGTTCTATAATGATTTGGACGCTCTTATTGTGCAGCGGGTTTCCAAGGAGGCGAGTTGAGACCATCAAGTCTTTAGCGCCCCATGTTCTGGGCGTTTTTGTTGGAATAATCGTCGGAATTACTTTCATGAAGGTAAGAGCTGTCCGAAACAACAATGGAACCCTTTTAAATCCCTATCTGTGGGTACTATTTGAAAGTATTTACTAGTATCTCTACAATAATATACTTAGATAGTATCTTAGCTTCTTTTTGTGATCTTTGTACACTAATAGCTTTGCGGTGTGCCAATCTTAGTTTGCTAATCCTCCATCACTTATCGATTCAAGTGGAGCTTTCGAGAGATACAATGTTGAAGACTTTTGTCCCCCCCGTGCCCCTAAAGTAACCACTCACATTCTCACTTCTGATCCGCTCCAGGCTTTTCAGTGTCGTCTGTTGTTGTTGTTGTTGTTGTTTTTTTTTTTTTTTTTTTTCTTTTCTTTTCTTTTCTTTTCTTTTTCTTTTTCTTTGACTTTTCTTCCCGTTCGCTGTCTTTATGATTGTTTCACACGGCTTAGATCTCAGCAATGCTTCCTTTTCTTTCAATCTTGTAATTGAAACATGCCGCATTTTGGGAAGACAATAATTTCTGAAAAATATCATTACTGCAGTGGTGTTGTCTCTGTTGCATCCCTACATTACTTAATGACTTTACCTTGATAAGAAGCGCCTAAATAATACAATTTATTCTGCTGGAATTCGTTCGAGGAACAATGACAAGGATGAATTCGTTTCAGGACTCAGAGGATGCCGTAAATTGCTCTTCTCTGCCTCCACGAGGTTCTGAACATCTGCCACGCGGAATAGTCGTCCCATTGACGGATCTCTACCCCCGTAGGTTGTGGGGAAAGCCCGAGGAGGTGAGGTCCTTTTTTTATGTTAACAGTTTCGTTGATGTCGAATTCTGGAGCTAAACATGAAACAAAAGTTAGAGACTCTGTTAACTGGTTCGTGTATTTCGTATGTCTTTTTACTTTTTCTATTATGTGGTAGTCTGGAAAGTGAAATAGGTTGTAGCACTAATAGTCACTGCTTTTGTTTCTGGAATGACCGAGGTTGTTGAGTCAAGATTTTATGGTTTGTTGCCCCAAACTACTGGCTAACCTCTTCATAATGGTTGTTTATGGCAGGATCTTTTAATAAAGCCGAAGTATCTATTGACCCTAACTGTAGGAATTAAGCAAAAAGACTTTGTCAATGAGTGTGTTCAGAAGGTATTCACTGACCTCACTGATTGCCAACCATCTGAAGCAATCTGTAAAGTTTTGTAATATTGCCGTGTGGTTCACCTCTTGGTGAAGACTTGCGAGTTAATGGAAACCATGTGTTTAGGGTCAGCGAAGTAAGCTATTGTTGTTGCTTCTATTGGAAGAATATTTTTCGAGATTAAAATGCTAATATATTCTTAGCGTCTGGTCTGTAGTTTTCAAAAGATTGGCAGATAGTTCTGTTCCATTATGACGGGAAGGTAAGCGAATGGGACGAATTTGAGTGGGCGAAATACGCCATCCGTATAAGCACTCCAAAACAAGCAAAATGGTAACTGTTGCATGTCATATGGGCCAACGCTACAAGTTTGCTAGCCTCTTTGTATGCCAGCATCTTATTATTTATTTTTATTTATTTGTTTATTTTTCTGAGTGCTCTGTATGTTCTTTTGACACTGCGCTGCACATGTTCTATCGTTTTACTTTTGTGTATCTCAGCAAGAGGTTTTCTTTATATGATGGATACAATGACTAGCCCCAAAGCATTGGAAATTTTATCATGAGAATGTAAGTTTTTCTTCAATTCGTTGTATTTTATATATTAACACTGTTGGGATATTCTTAGGTGGTATGCCAAAAGATTTCTGCACCCCGATGTCGTTGAAGCGTACGATTATATTTTCATTTGGGACGAGGATCTGGATTTACAACATTTTGATGCTGAAAAGTAGGTTCTCTGAGAAGTGGGTTTGTTTCGAATTTCTAGCTCGTTTTAACTGTTCCATCAGCAAGTGATATAGATTATTGTGTTTGAGCTGGAAGTCCTATTCGTATTGTATTAGATGTCTGTTTCAAGTTCGAGGTTTTTCAGTGCATCACAATTAACAATGTAATGCCGATAATGGCGTGAGAAACACCTGTGTGGTTACGAGATTTTCACAATTTAATGCCGGTCCATTTTACCATGTTAATATATTGGTGCATACCTGGAGCACAATGCATGTTAAACTCGTCACGCGTTTCACATAATTTGATGTTACCCGGACCTCTGCCTTCAGGTATATGGAACTGGTTAAGAAGTACGGACTTGAAATATCACAACCAGGTTTAGAACCAGATCGAGGCTTAACGTGGGAAATGACTAAACGCCTTGGTAACAGCGATGTTCACAAGTAAGTAGTTGGCGCTCGTCTATTATTGTGGTTTTTCTCGTGTTAAAGTTGCTAAAAATACTCCTTTCAGCATGTCTCGACAATTTTCTTACACTCATGGTCAAATAACAGTATACGTATTAATTTGTACATAATCTAAGGCAACTCGTATTCCCGCAGTACTTGAAGACTTAAGTTAGTACTGTTGCAATGCGAGAGAAAAAAATAAAATAAAGGAAGCACTTGAATAAATTTCATAGTTTGCTTGCATAGGTTTTTGAACTTTCCTTTAACACTTTTACAAGAACATCTTGAGAGAAATGCAGTTTTTACACATATTACGTGAAATCTGAGGGTTTTACAGACTACTTCCTAGAACAATTACCCTCATGCATTGTTTCCTGCACAGGAATACTACGGAGAAAGCGGGGTGGTGCTCGGATCCCCAATTGCCTCCTTGTGCGGGGTAATACTTCATTAACACTCTGTTGATTCTGTTGATTCAGTTTTTTTAATTCTTTGCTGTAGAAATATAATTTAGACGTTAAATCATATTCGATCAGGGGTGAAGGTATTAGTCCGTTAATGAGGTCCTGCCAAGTATCATGTTTTTTTTAGTTGCCAGCTACGTTAGAATCATTTAGACTTAAGAATCTGTATCATGATGTGTGTGCTGCATTATTTTGGGTCACCTAATTCCGCGCAACTGCAGATTTGTGGAGATTATGGCACCTGTTTTCTCACGATCAGCCTGGAGATGTGTTTGGCATATGATACAGGTGTTGCCCCAAAAGTTCGATTGTGAAATGTCACGCATGAATATAATTTGAGTGAAAGGTGTATTGTTTTCAGAACCCTTTTGTGGAATGTAGATTTTGTTCCGTGCTTGCTGTCAGGAGTCTTCACTTGAAGGTTTATCGAGAAATACTACTAGCAATTTTTTCCTAAAGTGCCGGCGTAGAAAATTATTTACTGTACATGCAACTAGGCAACTAGTGTTGCTCACAATTTTGTGAATGTGGTGTGCTTACAGAATGACTTGATCCATGGGTGGGGACTGGACATGGAGCTTAAGCGGTGTGCCCTGGTAAGTTTATACGAAGTTGAATTTCGTCAGTCGTAGGTGCAGAGCTTACATAACTTTCTAATTGCATCAACAAATGGACACAAGCTTCGGTGGACTTCTTTCTACTAGTTGAAGTATCACTCTGGTTGTTATTTTCTCAGTCTCTGTCTGAATTGTTGGATATCTCATCTACTGAATGGTTTGTCTTGATGATTTGCAGCCTGCACATGATAAAATTGGAGTTGTAGATGCTCAGTGGATCCGACATCGGGTTGTGCTATCTCTAAATAGCTCGGTTTGTGTTCCTCACAACCATTCACTCGTTCTATGATTCTTCCGAGATCGCAGTTCTAATGTCGAAATGCTATTCGTTATGGTTTATAGTAAAGCAATATTTTCTTGTTACTTGTCTACAATTTCAGTCGTGTGGCTGGTGTAAGATATGTTGTCCGGTTTTTCCTCCGTATGCCTAATGCAAAATGTGCCAAGCTTGTTCCGAAACAGTATTACTATCGGTATTGTAATTGGGTTCATCTGTATTTGTTTGTAATTTTTGGATTGACGAAATTCTGGTCTTGTCAGGGTGCTGAGGATCCTGCACTACCAAAATGGACATCAGTAACCTCGGTATGTTCCTTCGTATTGCCAAAAATACATAAGCAATGATGTCCTACCTTCTGTTTCACTACTGACGAAGTTATGCTCTTAGTGATGGGTTCTTGTGGTGCTGTATAAAAAAAACATTCCCTAGCACTGACATACTTTCAAAGCATCAAGAGTTTTTAGTACTGTTTTGTTTCTGTATCTACTCCATATCATGGTGTGAACAGTAATGAGTACGGATTCATGAACCTTCTTCAATGCGTTGAAAAACGTGGCTCAGAAAGAAACAGTTGAATTACAACACAGTTTAAACTGAAGCAACAATTGAATGTTGGAGAATTTTTCCCTCGCATGTCATTGATGAAGTTAGGTACTTTGTTTATGACATCATGTACTGGTTATGCTTCCATGGTTTTAGGTGCGAGATCGCTGTCGTTATGAGTGGGAAGAGTTTAAAAAGCGATTGAAACTGGCTGACGAAGAGGAGAAAGCGCGCCTTAGCAGAGCTGGAGTATGACAAACCTCCGTATAACACTTCAAGGTGGTGTGATCTTGATTAAACAACCGCAGGGGTCTGAGTCAGTGGCCTTTCACATGGGTTTCACTCCTGAAACAATGAGTGTTGTTACGTTTGGAGTGTCAGTAGATTGCTGGTTGTGAGCTAAAGAATGACGATGATATGTTTTTCCACCTTAAGTTGCTCCCTCTGTTTCACTCGTACAGTTTTAAGTTAAAATGTTTTTCCATGCATTTGTTGTATACCCGTTGCCATGGAGAATGGTGAGGAACGGGTTTTGCCTCGTGCACATATTTCAGGTCCTCAACATGAAAATACTGTCATGTTCAAGGCATATGGCCTCCTTGGGTATTTATTTGACGTTTAATTCGGAAATGGTTATCTAGATTTATGAATTTTTGCCCTTACTTAACTTTTATTTTCCGCTTAGAAGTATGTATCCATTCATCAAATCATAATGTTATCCAACAAATTACCAGTACGCATTAAGTGTTAATTTTGAAACTATTTTACACTATCCTAGTCATGCAAATGTTTCATCGTTCTTGAATGACCCATGTTGATGAATGAAGCAGAAATCTGAGGAATGACAGGTTTTGCGATCTTGAGGGTTGAATATTGATATGAACATCTCATCTGAAGCCCAGCACAGCTATTCAAATGATCATGCACTACCAGTCCCACTTAAGATAATCATGCCGTGACAAATCTCTTGCTCATAAGGTTTGATTATCTACGGCTGTAACTTCTATTATTAAATAACTTCATTTAAAGTTTTCCTCCGTTTGTATCTAGTTTCTTTTACTGTAATTTTTATGACTCTGAAACTTTGTGCTAACTTCTCTTAGGGTTGGAAACTTTTGATTCAATTATTCACTCAATACTAATATTAAAAAAGTAAATTGAGTGTTTTTTTGGGATTTTACCACAGTTAATTATTGGAAGCATATAATGTGTGATTTTCTATGAATAAATAGAATTCTAAGCATTCATCACTCACATATTTTTTTAATTTTGGGATTGTTCTTCTATGTACAGTCTCCATCACATTACGTCTGTTTCTTTCAGATCATGAACTTTTTGAAGTACATGATATGCGTATGTCTTGTACATTTGGTTGTAATTGATTTGTATATTCCTATTTAATTTCTTACTGTTCAAAAAAAATCTAAATCAGTTATGATATTTTTCTTAACCGTTATCCACCTAAAGGAAAGAAAATTTTCATGTTGTTGTTGTTGTTGTTGTTGTTTTTTTTTTTTTTTTCTTTTTTTTGACAAAATCCTAACTCATTTTAACAATTTTGATTCCACGAATAAATATTTCTTAATCAGCATGGCATAAACTTTATCTTTTCATACAACAGTGCACCATGTGCACACAACTTTTGTTTCAAAACATCAAAAATTGTCATTTGTAAATCAAACAAGCTTATAGCAATATGAAAGCTAGTTGGTTTGGTCTTAGAATATTTTGGTGGTTTGCTATAGGTAGAAAAAATAATTGCTATTAAATAATCTATATATATTTCCAAGAATTATCAATGAAATCCTACATCCCTAATTTATGTTAACTCCTAATCTAATTTAATTAGTAAGATAAATTCTAAAATCTTAGCAAACTAGTGGAATCAAAAACTTTTCTCTCTTTCAAAACAAAAAAAAAAAGCTAAAATTATAAATTTCTCTCAAAATAAAAGGAGATGATTCTTCATAATAAAAGGAGAAAGAAACATTAAAAATGTCAATTTGTACTAAAAATAAAATAAAAAAATCGTGGATAAAATTTTAATAAAGAATAGAAGAGTTATTTAAAAAGAGTCTATATATAAACCATTAGAGGATACAACTTTCTACTAGAATACAAAAAAAAAAAAAAAAAAAAAAAAAAAAAGCATTATCTTTTATAAGATATAAAAGACAGCATGAGAAAAACAATCATAATAAAAGATAAAAAATAATAATAATTGTGAGTTTAAAATATTATCTCTACTTCAAAAAACTCTTGCTAAGTGAGCTTGTTTAATTATACACTTGTTAAGTGTTCTAAGCTTTTACAATCTTTCTTTAGTTTTGGATCTATTGTCTAGTCTTATGTTATTTTATTCAATATAATAATGTTTCAATGCCTTATCTACTTTTCATGTTTCTGTTATTTAATATTTAGAATCAACAAAGTTGATTTTGGTTGTAAACTGAATACAAGTGTAGGTATATGATTTTCATTATAATATTTCATATTACATGCTTCTTAGGAACTCCAAGATGAGGTCAAATATTAGGCATTGTGTATTTTTTGCCAAGTATTGAATGTTCTACACAATTGTACCCTTGAATTTAACAACATTCAATCATTTGTGTAGAAATATTTAAAATACCATCTAAAACCAAATGTATCAGATTAAATAGTAAATTGTATTGAGTTAATTTAAACATTGATTGCACAATCAACATCAATGTTAATATATCTATGAATTGTAGTCATATAATTCATGTTTGGAAGTCTATTGTCTAAACCTATGTCTACTTTAAACTTTAGTTTCTTTCAATTTTTATTAATATAATATAATCTAAATTATAAAAAAAATTAAAAAATCTAAATATAATAAAATTTTGATATGCATTTGGTATTAAAAAAATTGACACATGTTATAATTTTGCAAAAAAATACTTTCGTTTAATATAAAAATGTTAAAAGATAGCAATAGATTAATAGAAAAAAAAGAAAAAAGAATAAAAAAAAAGAAAAAAGAAAATCAAAGGTCTTTAGATGTTTCATTGGTTGAAATGTATAGTTTTGCAAATGAAAAATATATCTAACAAACTACAATCTATAAGCATAAAATATAATTTTTTTCTAATTAAACACATGGCAATTTCTAATAATTATTACTGTGATTAAATATTACTATATTAACTATATTAAAACTTGATTTGTATCTTAATTTTACTCTTAATTTTTTTGATGTCTTATAGTTTTATCCATATATATATATATATATATATATATTTATCAGTCTTTATAATATTTTGTTTTTATTTTATTTTATTATATTTAATCAAAAATAAAGCTAGTTATTAAAACCAAACATTCTTATTAGATGTGGTGTGAATTTAATATATACAATATTTTCTTTAATAATTAATCTTTAAAAAAAATCTTAATAGTAAGTCAAAATTTTATAAATTAATTTTTTTTCTATTGTGTTTAAGTTTAAAATTTAAAATTTCTAATAATTTTTTGATTTTAAAAAAAAATTGTTAATTAAAAAAAAATAATGAACAAAGGCCATATGGTTGGCAAGGTAATGTGGCTATATATGATTGAACAAGGAAATGTTATATGATGGCTATGGAAAAAGCAAGCAACTTAAAATGTAGAGCCTTGACTAAGATGATTTCTATTATATCTTTAGCGTACTTCTTTTGATGATTAATAATCTTTAATTATTGATATTTTTTTATACAAAAAATAATATTAACTTAAAATTATATATATATATATATATATATATATATGAATTTTTTACGTATATAAAAAATTATTTTGATAATTAAATTATAATTTATATTTATAGTATTCTAATAATTTTTTATATATTTCAAAAATCTTGTATTTTATAATATTTTTTACTTTTATAGAAACTTATTACTTAGAGTTCCAAGGTTATTAGCAAGCACAAGATATGACCTTGCAAGACTAGATTCAATATAATAATAATAATAATAATAAAAAGATAGTTTATTACTCAATCAAAAAATTATATGATCTTTGGTCTAATACAAACTTGACTTGCAGTACTACTACGCAAAATTTACAATATACTGTGCTACTTCTTAATTATCTTTCAAGTACTTTTTCTTGGCCTTTAAGTATCCTTCTACATTATTATGTCTCCTATTAATTTTGACAACCTTGTATGGTACATTATCTCCTTATTAACCATTCTTTTGGCATTGTGTCATTGAGATACTTGGATATGTATCAACCATAGCAGATATAGGCTCTTTGAATGGGTAACATCTTCATAGTTAGATATGGATACTTTGGATAGATAATATTTCACTCTCTAAGATATTTCACATTATATCCTCAAAATATTGGCAATGTAGGAAAATTTTGAGGTGTAGATTATGGATTTAGAAATAGTCCATATAAAGTGGTTTTTATCTATCGTATAATTTAAAAATTGCTTGAAAAAATCTACAATGCATACAAAAGTGCTTATATTGGATTTTTGATGCATGTTGTTAGTTATCAAAAACCATATTGCATGTGGATTTTTTGCAAATCAAGCAATCCATCATTTTGATATTATTGAAAAATCTTTCTTTGAGGTGAAGATGTTTGGCAAAATGGTTCTATTGGACGTCCTTTATATCATATATATTATTGTCTAAATTACTACTATGTATATCATTATTATTAAGCTCATGCTTTGTGGCCAATTCTATAAGGTATATCTTGTGCGATACTATTAGTATCAATCAACAGCTATAGATAGTAAATACTTCAAAATTATGATCAAACTTACTATTAAAAATTTATGATCAAACTTAAAAATTGATTATGTCTATCAATGATATGGGAGATGAAATAGCACCTTTATTTGTTTGCTTGGAATGTGGAATTGTTGGAAGAGTTATAGGTACATCAAATATTGTACATTCTTTTGTTATCACTCAATTGATTTGAATTAGGATGAATGTATCCTGATCTTGCTCATCTAGTAGAGGTAGATCCTTCCTATATTCTATCTTTATTCTCTATACTATGGTTTTGAGATATTCTTATAGTCTATTGAATGTAGATATTGATGTTACTTGAGCCTTTTCGAATACAATATTGAGAGCATGCAATTTTTTCTTTCAAGTTTTGGCAATATTTTTCAAGGCCTCAAAAATACCATATTTCTATTGTGCCACATAAATTTTGTCTTGTAGTTATTATAGCTTGCATTCTATAGTAGTATAATCAAATTTGAGTATTGCTAGTTTATCTTACTGCTAGCAAATCATGCAATCTTTTTTCTTGAGCTAAGACCATAGGCTTTTCATCTCATGTAGAATATTGCCTTTGTATGTCAATATGACATTGTGCAATTGGACTATATCTACGTTCAACTACTTGATTTGCAATTGTAAAATTGTATTGAACTTATAATACTTATAAATTATATCTTGAATATAGTCTTCACAACATTGTAACCTTGTGGTTACTTTATTAGCCACTACCACCAACTTACTTAATGTGTGGTCTAGGATTTTGTATTGCAATTTAGTTTTTCAAACTTCCACTTCTTAAGCAATTTTTTTTGAGCTATAATATTGTGAATTCATTATAATAGTATAGATATCAATGTTGGTATTGAATCTCTTATGCTTGAGTTCTTCATTGTGAGTATCAA